GGATCAGGCACACATAAAAGGAAGGGCACTGCAATGGATAAGGGAATACCTGACAGGGAGGCAGCAACGAGTCATGGTACGTGAAGAGGTATCACAGTGGGCGCCTGTTACGAGCGGGTCCCACAGGGTCAGTTCTAGGACCAGTGCTATTTTTGATATATGTGAACGACATGATGGAAGGAATAGACTCTGAAGTGTCCCTGTTCGCAGATGACGTGAAGTTGATGAGAAGAATTAAATCGGACGAGGATGAGGCAGGACTGCAAAGAGACCTGGAGAGGCTGGACATGTGGTCCAGTAACTGGCTCCTCGAATTCAATCCAGCCAAATGCAAAGTCATGAAGATTGGGGAGGGGCAAAGAAGACCGCAGACAGAATATAGGCTAGGTGGACAAAGACTACAGACCTCACTCAGGGAGAAAGACCTTGGGGTGACCATAACACCGAGTACATCACCGGAGGCACACATCAACCAAATAACCGCTGCAGCATACGGGCGCCTGGCAAACCTGAGAATAGCGTTCCGATACCTCAATAAGGAATCGTTCAAGACACTGTACACTGTGTATGTTAGGCCCATACTGGAGTATGCAGCACCAGTCTGGAACCCACACCTGGTCAAGCACGTCAAGAAGTTAGAGAAAGTACAAAGGTTTGCAACAAGGCTAGTCCCAGAGCTCAAGGGAATGTCGTACGAGGAAAGGTTAAGGGAAATCGGACTGACGACACTGGAGGACAGAAGGGTCAGGGGAGACATGATAACGACATACAAGATACTGCGGGGAATAGACAAGGTGGACAGAGATAGGATGTTCCAGAGAGGGGACACAGGGACAAGGGGTCACAACTGGAAGCTGAAGACTCAGACGAGTCACAGGGACGTTAGGAAGTATTTCTTCAGTCATAGAGTTGTCAGCAAGTGGAATAGCCTAGCAAGTGAAGTAGTGGAGGCAGGAACCATACATAGTTTTAAGAAGAGGTATGACAAAGCTCAGGAAGCAGAGAGAGAGAGGATCCAGTAGCGATCAGTGAAGAGGCGGGGCCAGGAGCTGAGTCTCGACCCTGCAACCACAAATTAGGTGAGTACAATTAGGTGAGTACACACACACACACACACACACACACACACACACACACACATACACACACACACACACACACACACACACACACACACACACACACACACACACACACACACACACACACACACACATACATACACACACACACACACACACACACACACACACACACACACACACACACACACACACACACACACACACACACACACACATACATACACACACACACACACACACACACACACACACACACACACACACACACACACACACACACATACACACACACACACACACACACACACACACACATACACATACATACACACACACACACACACACACACACACACACACACACACACACACACACACACACACACACACACACATACATCACACCACACACACACACACACACACACACACACACACACACACACACACACACACACACACACACACACACACACACATTGAGTGAAAATAATATTTGAGCCACTAAAGTTACAGTCATCCATAGACAAAAATGAAAGAATCAAATAAGTTTTTATTATCAGCAGCACGTCTACAAACATTGACAATATGTCTACAAACATTGACAATATGTCTACAAACATTGACAATATGTCTACAAACATTGACAATATGTCTACAAACATTGACAATATGTCTACAAACATTGACAATATGTCTACAAACATTGACAACAGGTCTACAAACATTGACAATATGTCTACAAACATTGACAATATGTCTACAACATTGACAATATGTCTACAAACATTGACAACAGGTCTACAAACATTGACAACAGGTCTACAAACATTGTCAACAGGTCTACAAGCATTGACAACAGGTCTACAAACATTGACAATAGGTCTACAAGCATTGACAACAGGTCTACAAACATTGACAATAGGTGTACAAATATTGACAACAGGTCTACAAACATTGACAACAGGTCTACAAACATTGACAACAGGTCTACAAAACATTGACAACAGGTCTACAAACATTGACAACAGGTCTACAAGCATTGACAACAGGTCTACAAACATTGACAACAGGTCTACAAACATTGGCAATAGGTCTACAAACATTGACAATAGGTCTACAAGCATTGACAACAGGTCTACAAACATTGACAACAGGTCTACAAACATTGACAACAGGTCTACAAACATTGACAACAGGTCTACAAACATTGACAATAGGTCTACAAACATTGACAACAGGTCTATAAACATTGACAACAGGTCTACAAACATTGACAACAGGTCTACAAACATTGACAACAGGTCTACAAAACATTGACAACAGGTCTTCAAACATTGACAATAGGTCTACAAACATTGACAACAGGTCTACAAACATTGACAATAGGTCTACAAACATTGACAACAGGTCTACAAACATTGACAATAGGTCTACAAACATTGACAACAGGTCTACAAACATTGACACAGGGCTACAAACATTGATAACAGGTCTACAAACATTGACAACAGGTCTACAAAAATTGACAATAGGTCTACAAACATTGACAACAAGTCTACAAACATTGACAACAGGTCTGCAAAAATTGACAATAGGTCTACAAACATTGACAACAGGTCTACAAACATTAACAACAGGTCTACAAACATTGACAACAGGTCTACAAACATTGACAACAGGCCTACAAACATTGACAACAGGTCTACAAACATTGACAATAGGTCTATAAACATTAACAATAAGTCTATAAACATTGATAATAGGACTACAAACATTGACAATAGGTCTACAAACATTAACAATAGGTCTATAAACATTGACAATAGGTCTACAAACATTGACAACAGGTCTACAAACATTTATAATAAGTCTACAAACACTGACAACAGGTCTACAAACAATGACAACAGGTCTACAAACATTGACAACAGGTCTATAAACATTGACAATAAGTCTATAAACATTGACAATAGGTCTACAAACATTCACAATAGGTCTATAAAGATTGACAATAGGTTTACCAACATTGACAATAGGTCTACATTGACAATAGGTCTACAAACATTGACAATAGGTCTACAAACACTGGCAATAGGTCTACGAACATTGACAATAGGTCTACAAACATTGACAATAGGTCTACAAACATGGACAATAGGTCCACAAACATTGACAACAGGTCTACAAACATTCATAATAAGTCTACAAACATTGACAATAGGTCTACATTGACAATAGGTCTGCAAACATTGATAATAGGTCTACAAACATTGACAATAGGTCTACAAACATTGACAACAGGTCTACAAACATTTATAATAAGTCTACAAACATTGACAATAGGTCTACAAACGACAATAGGTCTACAAACATTGACAATAGTTCTACAAACATTGACAACAGGTCTACAAACATTGACAACAGGTCTACAAACATTGACAATAGGTCTGCAAACATTGACAATAGGTCTACAAACATTGACAATAGGTCTACAAACATTGACAGTAGGTCTACAAACATTGACAATAGGTCTACAAACATTGACAATAGGTCTACAAACATTGACAGTAGGTCTACAAACATTGACAATAGGTCTACAAACATTGACAATAGGTCTACAAACATTGACAATAGGTCTACAAACATTAACAATAGGTCTACAAACATTGACAGTAGGTCTACAAACATTGACAATAGGTTTGCAAACATTGACAACAGGTTTAAACATTGACAGTATGTCTATAAACATAGACAATAGGTCCACAAATATTGACAATAGGTCTACAAACATTGACAATAGGTCTACAAACATTGACAATAGGTCTACAAACATTGACAGTAGGTCTACAAACATTGACAATAGGTCTACAAACATTGACAATAGGTCTACAAACATTGACAATAGGTCTACAAACATTGACAACAGGTCTACAAACAATGACAACAGGTCTGCAAATATTGACAACAGGTCTACAACCATTGGCAGTAGGTAGACAAACACTGGCAATAGGTCTACGAACATTGACAATAGGTCTACAAACATTGACAATAGGTCTACAAACAAGGACAATAGGTCCACAAACATTGACAACAGGTCTACAAACATTCATAATAAGTCTACAAACATTGGCAATAGGTCTTCAGTGACAGTAGGTCTGCAACCATTGACAATAGGTCTACAAACATTGACAATAGGTCTACATTGACAATAGGTCCGCAAACATTGACAATAGGTCTACAAACATTGACAATAGGTCTACAAACATTGACAACAGGTCTACAAACATTTATAATAAGTCTACAAACATTGACAATAGGTCTACAAACGACAATAGGTCTACAAACATTGACAATAGTTCTACAAACATTGACAACAGGTCTACAAACATTGACAACAGGTCTACAAACATTGACAATAGGTCTGCAAACATTGACAATAGGTCTACAAACATTGACAATAGGTCTACAAACATTGACAGTAGGTCTACAAACATTGACAATAGGTCTACAAACATTGACAATAGGTCTACAAACATTGACAGTAGGTCTACAAACATTGACAATAGGTCTACAAACATTGACGATAGGTCTACAAACATTGACAATAGGTCTACAAACATTAACAATAGGTCTACAAACATTGACAGTAGGTCTACAAACATTGACAATAGGTTTGCAAACATTGACAACAGGTTTAAACATTGACAGTAGGTCTATAAACATAGACAATAGGTCTACAAATATTGACAATAGGTCTACAAACATTGACAATAGGTCTACAAACATTGACAATAGGTCTACAAACATTGACAGTAGGTCTACAAACATTGACAATAGGTCTACAAACATTGACAATAGGTCTACAAACTTTGACAATAGGTCTACAAACATTGACAACAGGTCTACAAACAATGACAATAGGTCTACAAACAATGACAATAGGTCTACAAACAATGACAATAGGTCTACAAACAATGACGATAGGTCTACAAACAACGACAATAGGTCTAAAACAATGACAATAGGTCTACAAACAATGACGATAGGTCTACAAATAATGACAATAGGTCTACAAACAATGACAATAGGTCTACAAACAATGACGATAGGTCTACAAACAACGACAATAGGTCTACAAACAATGACAATAGGTCTACAAACAATGACAATAGGTCTACAAACAATGACGATAGGTCTACAAACAACGACAATAGGTCTACAAACAATGACAATAGGTCTACAAACAATGACGATAGGTCTACAAATAATGACAATAGGTCTACAAACAATGACAATAGGTCTACAAACAATGACGATAGGTCTACAAACAACGACAATAGGTCTACAACACAATGACAATAGGTCTACAAAACAATGACGATAGGTCTACAAGTAATGACAATAGGTCTACAAACAATGACAATAGGTCTACAAACAATGACAATAGGTGTGCAAACATCTATAGGTTATGAGTCTCGACTTTAAAAGTTATGTTGAATTTCATGAAGTTGAAATGAAAAACTTTATGAAGTGTAACTCACATTGTTTACATGTGTGTGTGTGTGTGTGTGTGTGTGTGTGTGTGTGTGTGTGTGTGTGTGTGTGTGTGTGTGTGTGTGTGTGTGTGTGTTGTGTGTGTAGGGGAGGTAGCCTTTATCTGGAATTAGTGTTGGTCATGGCTTTCACACAGCCCACACACAGACACAGACACACACACACACACACACACACACACACACACACACACACACACACACACACACACACACACACAGGTGAGTACACACACACACACACACTCAAGCACACACACACACAAGCACACACACACACACACACACACACACACACACACACACACACACACACACACACACACACACACACACACATACACATGCATAAATGCACACACACACACAGACACACACGCACACACACACACACACACAATCTTCGTGGGAGACAGCTGAGTGCAGTGCTTGTTATTGTGTGGAGCCCGTCATGCGTGAAGTTTCGTAGCGAGACTGTGTGTGTGTGTGTGTACAGAGAGTGACTACCAACAGCCCGGCTGGTCAGAGAACATGCCACGGTTAACAGATGGAGGTTCGAACCCACATATCCACAGTAACACCACACGGGTTTACTTCATGAATTAAAATACACTTAAATGAAGAAACATTGCGCGCGCACGCATAACACACACACACACACACACACACACACACACACACACACTGGGTCAGGAGCTGAGTCTCGACCCCTGCAACCACAGTTAAGTGAGCACACACACACACACGCATATACTACAGGCCTAGTATCTAATCGACATGTGCCTAGGACAAAATGGTAACAAAATGGTAACTAACATACACGCACGCACCAGTTTAGAACCCACACCTAGCCAAGCACGTAAAGAAACTAGAGAAAGTGCAAAGGTTTGCAACAAGACTAGTCCCAGAGCAAAGAGGTATGTCCTACGAGGAGAGGTTAAGGGAAATCAACCTGACGACACTGGAGGACAGGAGAGATAGGGGGGACATGATAACGACATACAAAATACTGAGAGGAATTGACAAGGTGGACAAAGACAGGATGTTCCAGAGATTGGACACAGTAACAAGGGGACACAGTTGGAAGTTGAAGACGCAGATGAATCACAGGGATGTTAGGAAGTATTTCTTCAGCCACAAAGTAGTCAGTAAGTGGAATAGTTTGGGAAGCGATGTAGTGGAGGCAGGATCCATACAAAGCTTTAAGCAGAGGTATGATAAAGCTCACGGCTCAGGGAGAGTGACCTAGTAGCGATCAGTGAAGAGGCGGGGCCAGGAGCTCGGACTCGACCCCCGCAACCTCAACTAGGTGAGTACAACTTGGTGAGTACGCATGCACACATACACACACACATACACACACACACACACACACACACACACACACACACACACACACACACACACACACACACACACACACACACACACACACACACATACACACACACATACACACACACAGACACACACACGCACACACACAGACACACACATACACGCACACACACATATTCACACACACACACAGACACACACACACACACACACACACACACACACACACACACACACACACACACACACAAAACACACACACACATGCACACACACAAATATATCTACAAACAGGTGTCTTCCTACATATACTGGATGTATCTTTACCAATAAAACATATCCCAACCTGTACAATACCTGTTTAATTTTTTCTCCTGCTTCGAAAACCATTTTGCTCCCAAGTTGCAAGTGTCAGTTGCACATACTGAACCCTCCCCCCTCCCCCCTCCCTCCACCAGGTTAAGTGCAAGAAGTGTGCGAGAGTTATCCGGAGTTACCGTGCGACAGGAAGAATTACATATCATCTTTACATTTATGGATAGAAGAGAATATGAAGTGAGGACAAGATGAACCTAAGACACACAAGAATAGATGTAGGACAGGAGATGTAGGAGGACAGGAGATGTAGGAGGACAGGAGATGTAGGAGGACAGGAGATGTAGGAGGACAGGAGATGTAGGAGGACAGGGGATGTAGGAGGACAGGAGATGTAGGAGGACAGGAGATGTAGGAGGACAGGAGATGTAGAAGGACAGGAGATGTAAGGAAGGACAGGAGAAGATGTAGGAGGACAGGAGATGTAGGAGGACAGGAGATGTAGAGGACAGGAGATGTAGAAGGACAGGAGATGTAGGAGGACAGGAGATGTAGAGGACAGGAATGGGAGACGAGATGTAGGAGGACAGGAGATGTAGGAGGACAGGAGATGTAGAGGACAGGAGATGTAGAAGGACAGGAGATGTAGAAGGACAGGAGATGTAGGAGGAACTGGAGATGTAGAAGGACAGGAGATGTAGGACAGGAGATGTAGAAGGACAGGAGATGTAGAAGGACAGGAGATGTAGGAGGACAGGAGATGTAGGAGGACAGGAGATGTAGGAGGACTGGAGATGTAGAAGGACAGGAGATGTAGAAGGACAGGAGATGTAGGAGGACAGGAGATGTAGGAGGACTGGAGATGTAGAAGGACAGGAGATGTAGGAGGACAGGAGATGTAGAAGGACAGGAGATGTAGAAGGACAGGAGATGTAGAAGGACAGGAGATGTAGGAGGACAGGAGATGTAGGAGGACAGGAGATGTAGGAGGACTGGAGATGTAGAAGGACAGGAGATGTAGAAGGACAGGAGATGTAGGAGGACAGGAGATGTAGGAGGACTGGAGATGTAGAAGGACAGGAGATGTAGGAGGACAGGAGATGTAGGAGGACAGGAGATGTAGAAGGACAGGAGATGTAGGAGGACAGGAGATGTAGGAGGACAGGAGATGTAGAAGGACAGGAGATGTAGGAGGACAGGAGATGTAGGAGGACAGGAGATGTAGGAGGACAGGAGATGTAGGAGGACAGGAGATGTAGAAGGACAGGAGATGTAGAAGGACAGGAGATGTAGGAGGACAGGAGATGTAGAAGGACAGGAGATGTAGGAGGACAGGAGATGTAGAAGGACAGGAGATGTAGGAGGACAGGAGATGTAGGAGGACTGGAGATGTAGAAGGACAGGAGATGTAGGACAGGAGATGTAGGAGGACAGGAGATGTAGAAGGACAGGAGATGTAGAAGGACAGGAGATGTAGGAGGACAGGAGATGTAGGAGGACAGGAGATGTAGGAGGACAGGAGATGTAGGAGGACAGGAGATGTAGAAGGACAGGAGATGTAGAAGGACAGGATATGTAGGAGGACAGGAGATGTAGGAGGACTGGAGATGTAGAAGGACAGGAGATGTAGGACAGGAGATGTAGGAGGACAGGAGATGTAGGAGGACAGGAGATGTAGGAGGACAGGAGATGTAGGAGGACAGGAGATGTAGGAGGACAGGAGATGTAGAAGGACAGGAGATGTAGAAGGACAGGAGATGTAAGAGGAGAAAGGAGATGTAGAAGGACAGGAGATGTAGGAGGACAGGAGATGTAGAAGGACAGGAGATGTAGGAGGACAGGAGATGTAGGAGGACAGGAGATGTAGGAGGACAGGAGATGTAGGAGGACAGGAGATGTAGGAGAATAGATATACATATACTTCACAGTGCATATACACTCTCAATGTGTATATTGTCATATCTGGGTAATCTATCAACATATCCCCATGTGTCAACAAACCTGTCATGAGCATTCTATTAATTTACATTAACTGGCGCTCGTCCGTCCAGTCTGTCTGAGGTGTGTTAAGATTAAAGACATGACGGCCGAGCGGCTGTGTGCGTATTTTGCTTGGTCAGTTTTGTAGTTATGAATTCCCATTTAGCTTATTTTAATGTCAAATTCTTCTTCTTAAAATAAATTATCGGAGACTTATTTCGAGTTTGTGAAAATAGGTGTTTTTATCTGTGCCTTTGTAAGCGTTATGGCGTTAATGAATGGCGTCTTGGTGCGGACATTATCCACTTCCTGGTCAGCCTGAGGTGAGGTGTAACATTAAGAATGAGTTGACAGTCAGTATGCTCCTGAGAATGAATGTGTACTGGGGTCTTCTTGCTGAGATCCTGGCCTGTACCGGCGTCTTCTTGCTGAGATCCTGGCCTGTACCAGCGTCTTCTTGCTGATATCCTGGCCTGGACAGGCGTCTTCTTGCTGAGATCCTGGCCTGTACCGGCGTCTTCTTGCTGATATCCTGGCCTGGACCGGCGTCTTCTTGCTGAGATCCTGGCCTGTACCGGCGTCTTCTTGCTGAGATCCTGGCCTGTACCGGCGTCTTCTTGCTGAGATCCTGGCCTGTACCGGCGTCTTCTTGCTGATATCCTGGCCTGGACCGGCGTCTTCTTGCTGAGATCCTGGCCTGTACCGGCGTCTTCTTGTTGAGATCCTGGCTTGTACCGGCGTCTTCTTGCTGAGATCCTGGCCTGTACCGGCGTCTTCTTGTTGAGATCCTGGCTTGTACCGGCGTCTTCTTGCTGAGATCCTGGCCTGTACCGGCGTCTTCTTGCTGAGATCCTGGCCTGTACCGGCGTCTTCTTGCTGAGATCCTGGCCTGGACCGGCGTCTTTTGTTGAGATCTGGCCTGTACCGGCGTCTTCTTGCTGAGATCCTGGCCTGGACCGGCGTCTTCTTGCTGAGATCCTGGCCTGTACCAGCGTCTTCTTGCTGATATCCTGGCCTGGACAGGCGTCTTCTTGCTGATATCCTGGCCTGTACCGGCGTCTTCTTGCTGAGATCCTGGCCTGTACCGGCGTCTTCTTGTGAATTCTGGCCTGTACCGGCGTCTTCTTGCTGAGATCCTGGCCTGTACCGGCGTCTTCTTGCTGATATCCTGGCCTGGACCGGCGTCTTCTTGCTGAGATCCTGGCCTGTACCGGCGTCTTCTTGCTGAGATCCTGGCCTGTACCGGCGTCTTCTTGCTGAGATCCTGGCCTGTACCGGCGTCTTCTTGCTGATATCCTGGCCTGGACCGGCGTCTTCTTGCTGAGATCCTGGCCTGTACCGGCGTCTTCTTGTGAGATCCTGGCTGTACCGGCGTCTTCTTGCTGAGATCCTGGCCTGTACCGGCGTCTTCTTGTTGAGATCCTGGCTTGTACCGGCGTCTTCTTGCTGAGATCCTGGCCTGTACCGGCGTCTTCTTGCTGAGATCCTGGC